GAGTTCATGATGGGCCGTGCCAATTCCACCCAACCCAATGAGATTTCATGAGACATTCAGCAAAAGCTGGGGGAAATGTTGATCCTATAGAATGGGTTTCCATGTGGAGAGGCATGAAAACCACCAAATGCCATCCCTATAGAATGAATTCCTGAGTGACTGCGCAGGAACTGGTAAAAAATAGGCAGCACTCTGACATGTGCCCAGGGTATCCCAGGGATGCTTAGGCCAGTACCTAGAATTGCCTGGATCTACCAGATCTGCGTCAATTCTTTTCAAGTGTTATCCTAGGGGGACCCCAAAGGATCCCAAAGGCATCTGCAGGATTCTGTCAGGTTTTCATTTTATAGGCATTAAACACGACATAAAGGCATAAATACTCATGTGTTTTTCCAGAAATAGGGTGAAGATGAATGAAATCTGTTCACAGCGTGCTGATCTGAGGCTCTCCCTGCACCGGCTGCAGCTCCTGGGTCGTCAGCGTCTGTGAAGCCGGAGCCGGCGTCCAAGCCAGCAACGAGTTCATGAAAGGTCATGCCAATTTCACCCAATTCTATGAGATTTCTTGACAAACGCAGCAAAAGGTGGGGGACATGTTGATCCTATAGAATGGGTTTCCATGTGGAGAGGCGTGAAATCTACCAAATGCCATCCCTATAGAATGAATTCCTGACTGACTGCACAGGAACTGGTAAAAAAATAGGCAGCACTCTGACATTTGCCCAGGGTATCCCAGGGATGCTTAGGCCAGTGCTTAGAATTTCCTTGATGCACCAAAATGTATCAGATCTGTGTCAAGGCTTTCCAATTGATTATCCCAGTGAATCCCAAAAGGGCATCTGCAAGATTCTGTCAGGTTTTCATCATCCTATAAAATGGAAACCCAACCACCCTTCTATAGAATAGTTCCCAAGTATGTTCTTTTGTGGAATGGTTCCAACCCAGATCCAAAAAGTGAAACCAAACTTAAGGCATTGCAAACCCAGTTTTCTATTCTATAGGGGGTCTTTTTCCTAATCACTTGGAGTAAGTTTTTCATTTTATAGTGGATTATTTGTTAGAAGCAGTGGCCAGTATGAGGCTGGGTTTTCATTTTATAAGAGCGGCAGGGGGCTGTTGGCTTGGTAGGGTTTCTATTCTATAGGGAAAATCCCCCCCCTTAGTCCTGGGTTTTCGTTTTAGTCCCTATAGAATCAGACACCCAGGTTTGGCCCGAATTCCAACAGGGATTATATATATATATTTAATCTACCCCACCCACATAGAATATGCGTTTTTCTAATTCTGCAGTTGAACTCGAACGCAAATCTACTTAGAATATGCCCCCATTTCGTGTTCATGTTTTTTCTCCCCATTTGGTCTTCGCTCTGGAAGGATTTCATCAAAGGAAAGGGAGGTCCCCCTTTCAAATCGTATTCAGGAGGGCAAGATAGTAGGATGAGGAAAAGTGAAAAAGGTTTTCACATGGTGTTTGGTGACAAGAATTAAAAACTGTCAGCGCCCCCAAATTCACCGATTTCTTATTACTTGGCGTACTAAAAAGTTGATTTTTTTTTTCTACCGCAAAGGGTCCCGCCCACGAATGGTGGAGATCCTCGGAAATGGTCTAGATTGAGCAATACCGATTCAAACCATTTCGGAAAATTAGGTTGCAAACGCACATACATAGAATATGGCGGTGATACAGGGTTTCATCAAAGGAAAGGGAGGTTCCCCCTTTCAAATCGTATTCAGGAAAGCAAGATAGTATGATGAGGAAAAACAAAAAAGGTTTTCACAATTTGGTGACAAAAATTAAAAACTGGCAGGGTCCCCAAATTGACCGATTTCTTATTACTTTGTGTACTAAAAAGTACATTTTTTCTACCGCAAAGGGTCCCCACCACGAATGGTGGAGATACATGGGAAATGGGCTGGATTGAGCAATGCTGATTCAAACCATTTCGGGAAATTAGGTTGCACACATGAAAGAATTTGTATGGAAAAAAATTGGAAAAGTGAAGAAATTGTACGGAAATGTGAAGGATTTATAGAGAAAAATGAAGAAATACATATGGAAAAAGTGAAGAATTTGACTGAAAAGGGAAAATAATTTATATGGAAAAGAATCTGTATGATTTATATGGAAAAGAATCTGTATGGCATCAAAGACTACACCTCCCCGAATCGGTTGATGCGGGCCATCGCTGCAGGATGGCACAGAGTAGTCCAGCTAATCGTGGTCTTCACCACGTGGTTAGCACGTTGTTGCATGTGTGAGGAAAACCAAAAAAACAGTAAAAAAGAGGACCAAAAAATGAAAAAAACAAAAAAGACGAAGAAATACCAAAAAAGAAAAACAAAAAAGACAAAGCCTCCTCTGAGAGGCAAAAAGAATTCAATAGTGAACCAGGCATGGGACCTGGGAAAAAAGGGTGTAGAACCCGTCTGAATTTAGTGCTGGCTGGCGGCTGCCTGCGGGTGCTGATGTACTCCACCTTGCTGCGTTCTGCTGCTGCTTCTGCTCTTGACCTTGTCGAGAAACCATGGGAAGAATCTGCTTCCGAAACTTTACCGAACCCTTGGGCCCCCCTCACCTCGGAGCGACCGGGGCGGCCATGGCGGCAGCGGAATGCCACTGCGCTGGCCGACAAGCGAGTACCCTTGCTGATGGATGCTGAGCAGCGCGCGGTGAATAGCGCTAGCAGCAGAACTTGGGAAGTGGCTTCACAGTTTGCAACTTGGGTTACAAGTGACTTGGTGCAATGGGTCGGATTTGGACGACACTTATTTGTTCACCTGTTGTCAGTTGGGATCCTTTCATGTTTTGAAATGGTTCGGGACCGTGTCTGTTGGTGGGATTCTTTCATTTATGAACCTGTTGGCCCTGAATCGGTGGTTTCTCAGTTTAGTGGCCTGGTTGTGGAATCCTGATGCTGTCAATCGGAAGAGCCAGTTTAGGTCTAGGAAAAACAAAACAGAGACCAAATGTCGGAAACGCAAAATCAGACGTCATTTGCA